GCAACGGCGTCCTGAATCCGCGCTGCCTGAGCTTCACGAGCGCGCCGGCTCTCTTCCGCCGTCTGCGCGTCCTGAAGCGCTTGATCAGCGCAGCAGCTCCGCGGACTACAACGTTCAGCAAAACGTCCGAATAAACGAAATCCGGTAGAAGATTGTGTGAATGTTCAGCAGCTCATCCCTGGTAAAACTGATCGTGTTTGAGAAACAAAAAACAGGAAAAACTAACAAAAACAGTACAAACACTGGAGAGCCAAACACTGAGGCTGCCATCTGCGGCGCCATCGCATATCCATCCCAACATTTCCCAACAGCACAGCAGTAATTACTTTATGAAGAGATTATTATATTATATATATTCGTCATTGTCATTAGGATATGTCCCAAAAACTTTCAAACTGGCTGTTATTAAGCCACTCATTAAAAAAAAAAAAAGTAGTTAATTACAGACCAATCTCAAATCTCCCTTTTGTGTCAAAGATACTAGAAAAGGCAGTATCCTCAAAACTATGTTCCTTTTTAGAGAAAAATGGTATCTGTGAGGATTTCCAGTCAGGATTTAGACCGTATCATAGTACTGAGACTACTCTAATTAGAGTTACAAATGACCTGCTCTTATCATCTGATCGTGGTTGTATCTCTCTATTAGTGCTACTGGATCTTAGTGTTGTGTTACCACAACATTCTGTTGAATAGATTAGAAAATTATGTTAGCATTAGTGGAATTGCATTGGCATGGTTCAAATTTATTTATTTATTTATTTAGTCATTTATTAGACGCTTTTATCCAAAGCGACTTACAAACGAGGACAACAGAAGCAATCAATTGTAGTATTAAAACAACTAAAAACAGATCCAAAACTAAAAGCTAAAACTTTATAAATACTACCTATACACATTTTAAAAAAACACAACTTGACCCCAAAGAACTAGTTAATTACAGACCGATCTCAAATCTCCCTTTTCTGTCCAAGATACTAGAAAAGATGGTATCCTCACAATTATATTCCTTCTTAGAGAAAAATGGTATATGTGAGGATTTCCAGTCAGGATTTAGACCGTATCATAGTACTGAGACTCCTCTCATCAGTTACAAATGACCTGCTCTTATCATTCGATCGTGGTTGTATCTCTCTATTAGTGCTACTGGATCTTAGTGTTGTGTTACCACAACATTCTGTTGAATAGATTAGAAAATTATGTTAGCATTAGTGGAATTGCATTGGCATGGTTCAAATTTATTTATTTATTGGAGTCGCACGGTAGAGTCGATGGTCTTTACACTCTTCTGTCTTCCCACAAATCATATTTATCTGACTGTCATCAATTCATAGCAGTGAATGATAAGGTATCATATCGATCGCAAGAGTACCACAAGGCTCAGTAATAGGACATTTGCTTTTCATGCTTTACATGTTACCCTTGGAAGATATCATCAGGAAACATGGTGTTAGCTTTCACTGTTATTCTAATGATACTCAGCTCTACATTTCTTTGCGGCCGACGAAGCATACCAATTTGTAAAACAAAAAGAATGCATAGTTGATAGAAAAAAACTGGATGACTAGTAATTTCCTACTGCTAAATTCTGAAGAAAAAAAAAAACCCAACAACAACAGAGGTTAAATATCGGACCAAAAACCTCTGCATGTAATAACCCAGAACACTGTCTAACACTTGATGGCTGCTCTGTCAATTCATCGTCATCAGTTAGGAACCTAGGTATGCTATTGGATAGCAATCTTTCCTTTGAAAGCCACGTTTCTAGCATTTGTAAAACCACATTTTTCCATTTTAAGAAATATATCTAAAGTATGACATATGCTCTCAATGTCAAATGCAGAAACGTTAATTCATGCATTCATGACCTCAAGGTTAGATTATTGAAATGCTTATTGGGTGGTTGCTCTGTGTGATTAATAAACAAACTCTAGCTGGTCCAAAATGCAGCAGCTAGAGTTCTTACTAGAACTAGGAAGTATGACCATATTAGCCTATGCACTAGCTCCCTATTTAATCATTTTAGCTCCTCAGTACTTGAGCAAGCTCTTATCTAATTATAGTCCTTCACGTCTCAAAACTCAAGGCCATTTGATAATACCTAGAATATCAAAATCAACTGTGGATGGTAGATCCTTTCCTATTTAGTGCCCAAATTCTCGAACTATCTACCTAACATCGTTCGGGAGGCAGACAAACTCTGTCAGTTTAAATCTAGATTAAAGACTAATCTCTTTACCCTAGCTTACACATAACACACTATCACAATTCTATAATTCAAATCTGTTAAATGATTGGAGATAAGATCCAGATCAGATGGTCACTGTAGCC